TATTGCCAGGACTCTGCTTCTCCTGCCTCGCTCAAATTTGCTCGTCTGAGGTTCCAACTTCCATTGCAGATATCACCTGCCTGCCGTTGATATTTACATTCTCTAGAATAATTATTTTCAGGTGTTTAACTGTTGCTTCTTCCAGTGTGATTTGCAGTTCTCTACAGTATGGCTTTTTAAATGTTAGAAATACTTACAATGCATGTGCAGCCAATCTCATACTAAGCATTCAAATATTAAAGAAATCAAGTTTTTAAATGGCATTCATGTTTGTTCAACTTGGTAAACATTAAAACTGCACTACATTCCCAGTGCTGTTAGGAGTGGGGAATTCACAGATTGAAAAAAAAAAATAAAACCAAAAAACTTTAATGGAAGACCAGAAATGGGTCCCTCTTTTCTGTCTCTAATGTACCCAGCACATGGCTCTGATATCTGTTATATTGTGATGTTCTGTTGGTTCCTTGTGGCCTCCCTTTTTGGCTTAGCACCTCTAGGATAGGGAATGAATATTAAAGGTTTAGGTTCTGAGGGTCTGGCACACTCCCTGGCACATACTAGGTTCTTGGGGAATGTTTGGAATGAGCTGTTGAGCTGGATTATGGTATCATTTGAGAAATTTTATATTGGAGCCTGTATGGAGGGCTGGAGGAGAGAGTAGGAGAGAGGGTACCCAGTCTATTTTTCCATTTCTTGGCCAGGGTAAGTCCTTTTTTTTGCCAAATTACAGTCCTGTCAGACTGCATTTGGACACTATTTCACTTGGACAGTAATTTTACTTAAACCAATATTGGCAGTCCTCACTTGGTGGATTACATTTTTGAGGAGGCACTGTAATTTAGAAGCATGTAAGTTGGCTAACCCAGAGTCTTTTATTCTGAACAAGGAGTTAAAGCTCACATTTTCATGGAAAAGGTCTGTTTAATAATTTTTGATATGCCTATTTTCTTATGCAGCATAAAGTTTTCTAATTTTAACAATCTATTATATGATCCCACTGGTGTTTTAATGGTGTTCCACTCATTTATTTATAAGATTTACATAGAGATTTTGTAAGGTATTAATATGTGAATGAAACTGTTAATACTGTGGTTATTTCTAGGGAGGAGGCCTGATCATGCCATTCAGGTCATACAAAATTTCTCTGTTTTTCGTTAAACCTTCTGTATTGCTTGAAATTTTTGTTTGTAATGAGAATATTTTGCTTTTATATAAAAAATTGAATGAATAGCATTGATATGAATCCCAATTAGGATGACAAGCTTAATCAGTTTTTGGGAAGTGATTACAGGCTAGGGGAGAAAGTATAGGATCATGAGACCCTGAAAGGAGTATTTTTTCCAAAGCAGAAGAGTTACTTCCTGGAGAAATGGCTGAGTAGAGTTAGGGGGCTGCGGCTGGATCTGGAGCTGGTGAGAAAAGGTTTTTGGGTGCTGAAGCACATCAAGGAGACTTCCCAGGGTAGGTGGCTTGTGCAGTTGCTGGCTCTAAAAAGCCTTGGGTTAGTAAGGCATTCGTGATTAGATGAGTTGTCAGTGCAGGCCCCTGAATGCATGGGCCACCTGCATTGGTTTTATGTTGTGGCAAAGGAGGACTGAGTTGAGGAAAGGCCAGCAGAGCTTCTTCAGGTGTTAGGACTTGGCACTAAGCAAAGCATTTTAAAAAAATGCTTTATCGCACAGACAATATTTTTAGTTTTTTTCCCTTAGATTTGAGTGAAAGGAAAACACCATTGAACATAAGAAAACAAAGGCTACTGACAAGAGATGGTTAAATGAATGTGTATTTTGAAAGTTACAGCAGGTTCATCATTATTAAGTAAGGTGTATATTTTCATCAACTCAGATCTGAAAAACTTTGGGGTGGGATAATATATCTTTTATTTATTCTTGCCTGTTAAAATCAAAAAGGCTTATTTCATGATGTTAATACAGTGGCTTTTTCGGGTCAACGTAAGTAGGTCACGAATGTATATTGTAATAACCTTTTCTGTTACATTTCTATTACATAAACATTTTATAATTATGAAAGATTTATATGATTCAGAAATATTTAACATTTCAAAAATCTACCATTACCTCCCCAAATTAACTTCTCTAAACTACTTCATACCCATGAACACATACATGCATGTATGGCTTTATTGTATCATATATATCTTGCAACTTGCCTTTTTTTTTTTTTTAAACTTAACAATAGGCTTTAGAGCGTTTTCTGAGTCATTTCTTATAATTCACCTTTTGCTTTTAAGTGGCTTTAGAATTCTACAATTTGAAGGTATCATATTCATCTTCTACTTAAATTTGAGAACAAATAATTAAGCTTTCTTCTAGCAGATTTTTGCCTGAAATCCTGAGGGACTTTACAGAGAATGATAGGTATTTCAGAAATTCACATTCTGTAAACTGGTATTAGGAACATGGAATGAAAGGAGGAAAAAGAGCTACAAGTAACAATAAAGATCTGCAGAGGACCTTCTAAAATTAATTCCAAATGCTTATTTCTGTAACTTTTTGGCTGAAAAGCTTATTGGTGCAGGTCATATTTTAAAGAGAAATCACACCTTATATAGATAACAGCTGATTTATGAAGTATACAGTTCTTTTTTTAAAAAATATAAATGCTTTTTCTCTTCACCCTTTAGTTCTGTTTTATCGTTTGCAAAGCTTATCATTATTTTTCTTAGAAAATAACTCTATAGCAGAAAGGGCCACTTGTTTTTTTTTTTAAATATAGCAAGAAAACTAATAATTTGTGGACATAATGGTCATGTATTTTGACCATGATTAAGAGGCTACTGACCAGCTATAGACCACTGTTTTATTAAAATATAGGTTACAGCATTGAAGACTACAAATGAACCTTCTATGGAGTGATAAACTGTTCTTCTGTGCCTACCATTTTTTCCTCCCTCCCACAGGAGCAATGTTGTAATTTCTCTGTGGACTTTAACCCACACAGAGTTGTTTCATTGGTAAATTTGGTAACATTTTAGAAGTTGAGTTATCTACTTCATGTTGGTAATTTAATACATAAAAACCTGTTTACACTCAAAATTTGGTTGCATTTTTTTACCCCATTATTATCTCTTTGCTTACAAGAATTGTATATTTTAAAGTTCTTCTGAATCCTTAAAGCACCCAATACAGTTTTCCAGTCTTGTTAAATGAAGAAATATGTCATGGAGTTCACAGCACTTTACATGCTGTTAATTGCCATCAGTTAAAACTGTTACAAGTAATAATGTACTATAATCTGTTGAAAACCCAACCTTTCAATTTACCAATCCTCCAACCCTCTTTGCTTTCCTCTCCTTGTGGAGTAGTTTAGAGTGTATTTATTTTCACCTGTGCATGCCAACGACCTCTGGCCCAAATGTTACTGGCCTACCAAGGAATCTGGCCTAGAGTACAAGCCTATATTATGGCTTCTTTTTATCCCATGTTGTAATATATGTGGTTTAGTGGAAAGATACATGTTTCTAATTCACTGTTGCTTTTATCTGCAGACCCTATTATGAGCCAGTCAAGTTAAATATATTACAAATCCCTACCATAGTCTTGTAAAGTAAGTGATATTGCTGTTGTATACATGAAGAAATAGAAGCTCAGAGAGGCATGCAGTTGTCCAAAGTCACAGAGCTGGTATTCAAACACAGATCGAGTAGACCTGAAAGCACATCTGTTTGACAAACTGCTTTTAGCAGACATCAGTGAGTTATAGAGAATGGATCTAAAAGACAGATGAAAGGGGATAGGTGAAATCATACCTAGCATACATTGTACCTGTTATCTGGGTGATAGGCACTCTTATAACTTTGTCTCAAGCAGTACAAAAGCAATCCATGTGACCCAAACATTTGTACCCCCATCATCTGAAATAAAATAAATTTAAAAAAAAAAAAAGAAAATGGTTTTAGGGGCTTTCAGATCCAACTCAACCACTACTAGCTGTGTGACTTTCTCTTAGTCTCAGCTTAGTTGCAAAATAGAGATTCTACTACCCACCTTGTTAGGATTGTTGTGAAGATTCAATGGAAATGTATATAAAGCCTTTGACGCATTAAAGATTTTCATTAAAATGACCTAAACTTACCCTTTCCCATTCAAGTCAAATCACCTTCTGATGAAAGCAGATGCCAGCCATGACCAGTGCCCTAGATCTGCGAGGTCCCCAACCCCCGCTGGCTGTGGCCTGCTACTGGTATGTGGACTCCTGTTAGGAGTCCAGCTGTGCATCACCACCTGAGCTCTGCCACCAGCCTCCCACCCATACACCCTCTGTGGGAAAATTGTCTTCCATGAAACTGGTCCCTGGTGCCAAAAGGGTTCGGGACCACCTCAGGGGTCCTCAAACTTTTAAAACGGGGCAAGTTCATTGTCCCTCAGACCACTGGAAGAGCGTACACTGTGAGCCTGGGACGAGTAGGCTGCTAAGCAGGACAGGCAGCCGCGGCAAAACACCCGGAGAGCCAGATAAATGTGCTAGGCAGCCCGCATATGACCCGTGGGCTGTAGTTTGAGGATGCCTGATAGACCATGTATTTAAAAATGTTTTCAAAATTAAAATTTCTAACTAATTTCGTATCCCCAAACACTGATTGCAGTGTTCCCATTGTGTTTTCCATTGTAGGTCTTCTGAAGGACAGAACAGATTTCATTCCTGGCAGCAATGTAATTTGTAGTTGGGGGTGTTTTGTTTTTCTTTTTAATTATTTTGTTTTAATCCATGTGGAGTTGCAAACATTTCTAAAGGGTCTTATATGCTGCCGGGGGCCCTGTGCTGGCATTCTTTCTTAACTTATTGATGTGGTGAGCTGTTGGAAGAGGTAGGGATGATTTAGAATGAAATGGCATTAGGAAGCAAATGAGTTGAACAGTATTTCTCTGACCGTGAGCATTTCAACTGGGCTAACCAGTGAATTTGTGACAGTTTTATTTGCAAAACGGGTAAATTTCTTTGACCGAAACTTTCTCTTTTTCTCTTTTAAATTGTTTTAGGATGCAGAATAGAAAACTGTGATTCTTGCTTTAGCAAGGACTTTTGTACCAAGTGTAAAGTCGGCTTTTATTTGCATAGAGGCCGTTGCTTTGACGAATGTCCAGATGGTTTTGCACCATTAGATGAAACCATGGAATGTGTGGGTGAGTACTTTTTAATGGAACTCTCAAACTGTAACTTATAACACCTGTTTCTTGAAACTCTGCATGCTGAATATATTTAACCTAAAAACAAATTGCTTCTCTTGTTAGTTAGAACTGAAAATTAAGTTCTTTGCTGATTTTTCTGAATTCTTTGGGCATCATGACCATGAATGGTCTCATATAGCATATCTTGATACAAAATCTGTTAGTTGTGCCAATTGCTAGGTTAACCTATTTACTTGCTGATGAAGGTTTTTATCATCTGTGTAGTACTTCCATTTCTTACGCAATAAATTAGTAAGTCTTAGAGAAAAACACTTTGTTTAGAAAGAAATTTTTCAAGCAGAACCATGTTGGTTACCTACTTTATTGCTTTTGCTATTTATATGAATTTGGAGCTTCTTTCTTGGCCATTCATGTAAAACAAAAAATCAATTGAAAAATGTTTTGTACCAAGTATCTTTTGTTGATGATTGACTGCATGTTGCAAAGCACATTAAAACAATTTTACTGAATTTGGATACCTAGAATGCATAGTATACACACATGTGCTATTTGTGAAAAAAATTATTAGAAATATACATTTTATAAATGTTCTTCTGTGTGTTTGTAAAATACTTTGGCATTTTTATACCCCGGATTAAAAGATAAGGATCTGTCAGTGGGCACATTTTTGATGAATGCCTGAATCTAATTCATAGGTGTAATGACAAGTTCCCCTTCCCCTGCCTTGAATTTTATTTGATATTATATATTTGCTATGATGTACAACAGAGCTCTGTTATAAATTAGACCTTTCCTCCCTTGAAACAGATGCTTAAAAGTTGACCTTTTTTCTATTGAAATATTGATGAAATAGTACTTATGTTCCCATTTGTGTGTTAGTACATCCATATAGGTGACATTCTATTAAAATGACGTCACTACAAGAGCATATTCAGAATGCAGAATTTTCTTTTGAGAGACAAGACTCACACCCATTACAAATGTTCAGTGGAAATACTGTGGTTTCCAGATACCTGTTGAAAGCATAGAGCAGTTAACCAATGTGGTGTCAGAAAATGCAAAACAAGTTCCCCATCTTTTTCACCAAGCATTTCCAAAATAAAACATTTTTGTTTATTTTGATTAGGGGGACATTCAGAATTAATTAAAATTTTTGTCTTCTGTCATAGTATGAAATAGTGTCTAATTTAGGTTTTTACCTTTTGAATCTTTTATACATTTCAGTGTCATTAGAATTGCCAGTAGCATCCTTCAAAAAAAAAAAATGAACTAAGACAAATGGAAAGTAACAGCTTTTGAATTTTTTTTGAAACTTTTGTCTCCTTATGAGACATTTGTAGATGCAAGTATTCTATGGTTCAAAGAATTAAAGTTCCCAGAAGACAAGTATAGATCTTTGTGGGCTGTACCACTTTTTCATATTTAAAAGTAGGGGGAGTAGAGAAGCACTGCTATATGAATCTGATGACAGGGGAGCAAATGGATACCAAATTGTTATCTGTGTTTTGTGTTTTGTTTTGTTTTTAATATTGATTAGAAGGATGTGAAGTTGGTCATTGGAGCGAATGGGGAACATGTAGCAGAAATAATCGCACATGTGGATTTAAATGGGGTCTGGAAACCAGAACACGGCAAATTGTTAAAAAGCCAGCAAAAGACACAATACCATGTCCAACCATTGCTGAATCTCGGAGATGTAAGATGACCATGCGGCACTGTCCAGGAGGTAGGATTGAATATAATCACTATCTTGTGTGTGTGTGCGCGCATGTGCGCTTTCTGATTTCTTCCCCTCCCTCACCATCCTCCCGCCCAATAGAAAGTATTTGTCTATGAAGAAAACCTGATAACATTGTTGAGGGGAAAACATTGTTGTACTTATTTAGAAACAAATGCTTAAGTTGTACAGATTATAAAGTGAATATCGCATTTACTTTCATGATAACATAAAAATAATTTAGAAATGAGCTTTCTAAAATGACATTTCTAAAAGTGTGTGGGGTTTTCTTGTTTTTTTTTGTTGTTGTTGGTTTGTTTGTTTTGTGTTTTTTTTGCAAATGTATCATAAAAGCGAGTTCTTTGAAATCAGGCCTTTGCAGATGGTGCTGTCGGGGGAGCAGCCAACTTTCAGTTGAGAAGAGTTTAGATTAGAAAGGTTTATGGAATCTGTGAAATCATCTGCATCCTTACTAATTGAAGATGACAACTTAAAATAAACTTGCCCAAACATTGGTAGGAATAAACGTTGTCCTAATGTTACCACAATTAGCCGTTTCTCTTTGTTTTGATAATAATTTGCAGAAAACAGCTACTGGTATGTGTGTGTTTATTCAAATCTTTGTAGTAATTGTGTTGATTTGCAGTAATTATTCTGTAATAACAGGATTAGAAGAAGGGTACATAACTAAGGTGCTGCCTGAAGCTGAATTAGTACTTTGAAATGCAATTCTTAGCACTGTCACCGTGTCACTTAAAGCAGTAATCAGTCATTACCATTTATTGTATCACTAGCAGATTCTATGTTGCTAGTGATGAAGTTGGGATTATTCACAAAATACAAAATGCAAAAAAGAAAGTTATGTTTGGAAAACAGCCCTTATAAAATAATCATAACTTTTTTTTTTTGCCTTCATTTTTTCTGTCGGGGCATAGCTTTTCAGCTTAATGACAATAGCCTAGAAAGAGAATGTACTTCTGCTTAAAATGGGTTTATGTTCGTATTATGCTGCCTCATAGAGAATGTCTATGATCCATGGAGAAAGACAAAACTTTTAAGACTTGAAGACTCCAGTCGGCCTTTGAGAACTATTAGATCCAGATTCAGAAGCTACTATTAGGAAAGCAGCTTTTCCTCTTGAATTAGTTTTGCTTTTCCTTACTGGGTCTTTGAAACAAAGTTTTTTTGGGTCTGCTTTTCACTAACAAGGATGGTTTTGTTCACTTAAACTGGGTATTTTTCAGTCAAAATATAAGAAAATATTTTCTTACAAAACTAATAAGCCACTTCTTGGATAGCTGAGAGCATTTAACCTGCAACCTTCTGCCTAAAAACAAACCTGATGTATTCAGGTATTGGAAATAAAGACTTTCTTTGTTGTATATTGTTTATATAACTAGCCCTCCCCATTCCTCTTCCAGCAACATGGTCTCCCAATTGTGGTTTACGTTAATAGCAAAAATTAAACTAAAAATGCTCCTGTAACAAACATGCTCATGTGTAACAAGAGCCAACACATTTCCCTCCCCTCCAATACTCTTTATTTTGACCTAGCCCCAGTCTTGCTTGAGAATTTTCCAGATAACAGCTAGATTGTTAAACCATAATGTTTATTGCATTTGTGTTTTTTAGGCTACCAACAAGAGTACACTGTCTTAATGGAATATAACCCAACACTGTCAGCAATTTAAATGATGCCAAAGCAAATGCTTATGTATAATCTGCTAATATTTTCTTTTTGACAAGTAAACCAGCAATAGACTCTGATTTAATTTGTATTTAGGTTTTACCAAGGTTGGTTTGTTAGGAAAGAATAGCTACAGCGCTAATCCTTATATCTACATATTCAGTTTAATAAAATCAGTTTTTATATAGCCTCTAAATACAGCAGGTTTTCAAAGTTACATTGAAATGTTCTGTTCAAAAGGAGTTAAAATACAATGTTGATAGAAATGCTAAATTATTCTGCACTAAAATAACTTCTGTTTACAAAGAGATGAAAACTAGAAAATTAGTTTTGTAACTTGAGCATCAATTGATAAAAATTGGCATAACTTCCGGTAGAGTGTTCCACCTTGCCTCAGGTGAGAGAGGGAAAAGTTCCTTTCTTCAGTAGGTCACGGTGATTAATGGAAGAATGGAGAAGAAAACCACTTTATCCCTTCTTACATCTTGATTTGATTTCAGTGATCTGGTTTGACAAACCATGCAAAAATGTAAGTCGTAATCAGGTTGGGAATACAGGCATTTTTTAGATCTTTTCAACATATGTATGGATTTTTCTCCTGTTGGAGCCCATCTTAGCCTGATTGCGCACAGACGCAGCCTCAGCCGCCCTCACACCAAGGCAGCCGCACATTGAAATCAGCTGCTTTCGATTACCGAGAGGCATAAGTTAGAGGTCAGGGTAATGGAATAGTCACAAGTGTGTAAGGTACTACACTGAAAACTATTAAATGTTAAAAAATAAATGGCTGTAAGAGTTAAAAAAAAAACAAAAACAAAAAAACAACCAGTGTAATGCTTTAGCCTACTTTTTCCTTAACTGTCATATGCTTATTTGCTTTAAAAAAAAAACCAAAGAGTATCTGGAAATATCTTACATAGTACATTGGTTTACATTTGAAGTGCTCAGTGTCCATTCCCCAAATTTTCTTCTATAGATCAAGTGTCTTTTCTTTCATTTTTGATGACATAACCTGTCAGGTTTCTTGGACTTTTCCAACACTTATTTTTCAGGGGCTGATCTGGTGATCTGATGTCTGGGTCTGTGTGTCCTGTCAACTCATTAATTTGGTGACCCTGGCAAGTCACTTAACCTCTGTTGGCTCCATTTCCTCATTTGTAAAATTGAGGGTATTGGGGCAGGTGATCTCTGAGGTCCAGTCTAGTTCTAAAATCCGATAATTCCAGGATTAATTGCCAAAAGATGTGGGCAAGTTCTATGGTTGTCATGTGAAGAGTGAGGAAGAGATTTGGAAGCCCAAGAGCGTAGTTTCACAACCAAAGATCTGAATGCTTTCCCTGTAGCTGCACTGTGCAAAACTGCAAAAATAAGTAAATGAGTGTGAACAATTTCATGAGACAAGGGCTGTGAAAAAATCGAAGGATAGGGAGCTAGTTGATGGTTTGGGGGTGTACTACTATGTAGGGTGCTCAGGAAAATGGAGGAAGTAACATTTTAGCAGAGATCTGAAGGACAGACATTTTGAAGATCTGAGGGAATTTGTGTGTGTGTGTGTGTGTGTGTGTGTGTGTGTGTGAATATCCTTGATTCTCCCCCATATTTTAGGGAAAAAGAAGGAACTGAGCTCTAGGGCGGCTCTGACTGGTCCAAGGTGATACATAACAAGTTACTAGTGGGAGAGCCAAGAGTAGAACCGTCTTCTTACTGCCCAGGAAACCTAAGATTTCGTGTGCCTTTTCCTTTGTTCCTTATGATCAAGATCAAAGATAAAGCCATGGTTGTCCAACATCAAAATACCCAAACTTTTAACTATTTCTCCTTCCATGCAGAAATACCATTTTACTTTTGCTCTACAAATACTTAAATGTATACTATCCTTCCATCACCACCACCTCCTGACATCTTCCAATTTGGAATAGCGAGTGAAATGTAGCCCAAAGGTCATTGCGTGGTGCAGAGGGTTGACCTACAGGCTTGGCTTTGATTCAGCTGCATGTATTAAGGCCCTCTTCTCCTTTAGAGTCATCTGTCCTTAGTTAGTAGGGGGTAAATTCAGGGTTGTTCTTTCCATCCTTAGTCTTTCAGAGTTGGCCGTCTAGAGAGGGCTGCCTTGTGCTGAGCCACACCCAGCGTTCCTCATCTCTGGCTGATGGTTCCTCAGCCTACACGGAAGCCCTGGGTAATCTGAGCCCCACCCCACATCTGAAGGCTCTGTGCCCAGCATGGTTTTCTTTCTGGCACATTTCAGCAGTCAGACTCTTAAAAGTAATTTAGGTGATGTTTTGACATACGCTGGGATAGCTTTTTTGCCTCTTGCTCGGGGCTGCCTCACCTTGCCATAGTGTGGTTGTTAGTAACCCTAGAGTGGTTCTTGAAGCTCTTTAGTCAAATTTTCTTAGTCCTGTGCTAAAATGAGAAACCTGCTACTGTATGTGATTTCAATTTGAACACATTTGTTTATGAGATGTTACCTGATCAATATCTTTTTTTTTTTCCTCCTCAAAAGTAGCTTTTAACTTGGTAGGAAATAATAGAAAATATTAATTAGCAACTTAGAACCTTAATCTCTGTAAACATGACTTTTTAAAAAGTAATAGTAATAACACCTCTCTAATCTATGTTTTCTGTACATAAACTTACAGCAACATGTGGACTAGGTATTAGATAATACAACTAAGGATGGTTGTAGGTTGTGATGCATTACACAGAGAGCAGGAAATAGGCACATTTTCAGTAGGAGATAGGGTCAAGAATATATGCTTTGGACATATGTTCTTTGTTTTTCTACATTTTGTTTACATATGAGTTGCAATTTATATGGTCTGCTTTTATACATGCCAACCTCAAGTGTAGTTTGGAAGAGAGAGGATAAGAGAATCTTTTTTTTTTTTTCATGAAGTTTGTCAGGAATGTTGATATTAAAATTTTTATATGAAGATGAGAGCATCTAAAGGGAAATTCTTGTTGCTCTTCAGTTTGCCATCCTGAAAGTTTTATTATATTTCTTTGTAAAATTCATAATTGGAGTTAGCCATTTTAAATTAAGCAAATAATGCTATTTTCCAGGTGCTCTGGATTCATGAAAGCTGATTATAATGTTTATCTCTTTAGTGACTATAACCTGGGAGGGTTACCCATAAGTAGTTACTTTTTAAATGTGAATGTATAATTATTACATAAAGTTTAACAAAGCTCCCTCTGCCTCCAAACATTTCTCTTCATAGACAAAGCGTCTGACATTCCTGCTTTAAGGGTCTTTACAATATCATGGAAAGTATACGCTCCCTTGCCGCCACCCCCAACCCCACCCCAACTTGTTAAT